GAGAATCCCCCCATGATACCGCCGCGAATCGGAATGCGGGATGCGCTTATCAGGAAGACATATGTGGGCCGCCGCAGCAAAAGCGCCCAGGTTCTGTGCCTGTCCTGTACCTGGCATGACGCAGACGAACCGAAGGGGGGCAGGGTGAACGAGACGTCGGCCGTCGGCGCGCGGGAGCCTTGGTACCTCAGCAGCCATGGAAGTCGAGACACACGCAAGCCCGGCACTAACAGGCACACAGCTCACGGCACAGCGCGACGTGTTAGTGAGTCTGCAACAGGCAGGTTCTCTTTTTAGCGTCCGAGTCGCGGGGATCAGGTGGGCGCTACCCTGTACGAAGTACACGCATCCCCGACTATCGTTTGGGCAACGCTTGGCTCGAGCCAGTCGTTGCTCAGCTTCCGAAGCTCTCCACAGCAACAGACCAACAGTGCGCGCTGAGCTGTTTGCTGCTGCTGCTGTCACGGCTACTGCTGGCTTCGGTTGTAGCTGTAGCTGCTGCTGCGACGGCAGGCCCAGCAGCCAGCACACCCCAGCCCACCTATTGGTGACATTGGGAGCTGCCCTCCCTACCTGCACGCTGCCGTCTACGGCAAGAGGGTTCCTCCAGGTCCCCAGCATGAGCATCCACTAGCACCCAGTCAACCCGCGCCCACCTCGTCATGTTTCATTACGTCCGCGAGCTTCCTGCCTGTGACCCGACAGCCATACTTACTCCGAGCTCCCTCCTCCCCATCGCCCAATCTTCCCTTCTTCAACACCATCCTCTCCCACCCTCCCCCTTTCGCATCAGAGCTATCATTCATCAGCATCATCTCGATACAACCCATCAACGCCAGCGATAGTTCCATTCCCGAGCTAATTGCCTGCCCACACCATGAGGTTCTCAACCTCCGCCCTCGTGCTCGGCGCCGCCTCCACCGCGGTCGCCCTGGACCAGCACGTCCTTGGTGGCAACGACAGTCCCTTCGACTCCATCAAGACTACCGGCGAGAACTGGTTGTCGGCTTTCGAGGACAAGTTTGGCAAGATGACCTCTGAAGCCAAGGCCGTCTGGGACGAAATCACTCTCCTCGCTCCCGACGCTGTCGAGGCCTTCAAGAAGAACGCCATTCCCTCCAAGCCCAAGCCCCACCGCCGCAAGGCTGATAAGCATTGGGATCACGTCGTCAAGGGCGCTGACCTTGAGAGCATGTGGGTTGAGAAGAATGGCGAGAAGCACCGCAAGGTTGGGGGTCCTCTCAAGAACTTCAACCTGCGCGCCAAGAAGGTCGACCCCTCCGCTCTCGGCGTAGACAAGGTCAAGCAGTACAGCGGTTACCTCGATGACGAGGAGAACGACAAGCATCTCTTCTACTGTGAGTAGCCATCATTTGGAACCCTGCATCATCTTATCGAATCAACTAACAACTATGTAGGGTTCTTCGAGTCCCGCAACGACCCCAAGAACGACCCCGTTGTTCTGTGGCTCAACGGTGGCCCTGGCTGCTCTTCCCTCACCGGTCTGTTCATGGAGCTCGGCCCTGCTTCTATCGACAAGAAACTCAAGGTTGTCAACAACGAGTGGTCGTGGAACAACAACGCCTCAGTCATCTTCCTTGACCAGCCCGTCAACGTCGGCTACTCCTACTCTGGCTCTTCCGTCTCCAACACGGTCGCTGCTGGCAAGGATGTCTACGCCCTGCTCTCCCTCTTCTTCCACGAATTCCCCGAGTACGCCAAGCAGGACTTCCACATTGCTGGCGAGTCATATGCCGGCCACTACATCCCCGTCTTCGCCTCTGAGATTCTCTCTCACGAGGACCGCAACATCAACCTGAAGAGCGTCCTGATTGGCAACGGTCTTACTGACGGCCTGACCCAGTACGAATACTACCGCCCCATGGCTTGCGGAGAGGGTGGCTACCCTGCCGTTCTGGACCAGGGCGAGTGTCAGGCCATGGACAACGCTCTTCCCCGCTGCCAGAGCCTGATCAACAACTGCTACGATTCTGGCAGCGTCTGGTCTTGCGTCCCCGCCAGCATCTACTGCAACAACGCCCTCATCGGCCCTTACCAGCGCACCGGACAGAACGTCTACGACATCCGTGGCAAGTGCGAGGACAGCAGCAACCTGTGCTACTCTGCTCTTGGCTGGATCGCCGACTACCTGAACCAAGATTCCGTCAAGGAGGCCCTCGGTGCCGAGGTCGACAGCTACGACAGCTGCAACTTTGACATCAACCGCAACTTCCTCTTCGCTGGCGACTGGTTCCAGCCCTTCCACCGCGTTGTTCCCAAGCTTCTCGAGAAGATCCCCGTCCTCATCTACGCTGGTGATGCTGACTACATCTGCAACTGGCTCGGCAACCGTGCCTGGACCGAGGCTCTCGAGTGGCCCGGTCAGAAGTCGTTCAACAAGGCCGAGGTCAAGGGCCTCCACGTTGGCAAGGGCGAGGAATACGGCAAGGTCAAGTCCAGCGGCAACTTTACCTTCATGCAGCTCTACGGTGCTGGCCACATGGTCCCCATGGACCAGCCCGAGGCTTCCTCAGACTTCTTCAACCGCTGGTTGGGCGGTGAGTGGAGCGCTTAAGCGTGCTCATTGTAACGATGTGTATGAACGAAAGAATGATTCGTGTGGATGGATTGTCGCAGTGTCCGTTTGTATTGGATCGTTGTAGACTGGGCATTGGAGTATATTAATACCAGAGACCCAGTCGTCTCGTTTGGGTGGGCGCCAGTGTCAGCCCGGCGCGGTAGATCTTAGGTACGCTGCTAGAATATGACTCTTTTCACGTAAACATAATCGCAATCTTGTTATCAAGTGATATCTCAAGCCATTTATGGTCGCGTTCCATCCGATTTGACTTAGATTCGGGGATGAGTCGACATGATGGTATTAGTCACCGCGGCGGCGTATGTCCAAGCAGGTGCGGTACCCGCAAAACAACGTCAGATCAACCCGCCCAGGTACCAGCCTACAGATATTTCACCGCCCGCTGCCCCTCCTCGCAGCTGCTGTACAACCAACTACCCCGCCAAAACTTTTCGGGCGAGAACTTCTTGCAAACAACGACGACGACGAACCGTTCGATTTTCTCACTTGAATAGTGCAGACTACTACACACAAGCCCCCAAACCTTGTATCGATCGCAAAACAAACGCAAACGCCACTGCCGAAGCAGTAAACCGCCACGATGTCGTCGCGAATCAACCAACCGTCGAACCAGATCAAGCTGACCAACGTGTCCATGGTGCGGCTCAAAAAGGGCAAGAAGCGCTTCGAGATCGCGTGCTACAAGAATAAGGTGATGGAGTGGCGCTCCGGCGTCGAGACAGACCTCGACAACGTTCTCCAGATCCCCAACGTCTTCCTCAACGTGTCCAAGGGCCAGACGGCGCCGAAAGAGGACCTCGAGAAGGCGTTTGGCAAGGGCAAGTCCACCGATGACATCGTCCTGGAGATCCTGAAGAAGGGGGAGATGCAGGTCGGCGGCAAAGAGCGCGCGGAGCAGCTCGAGAGGGTGCACAACGAGGTCATCGGCATCGTGGCCAGCAGGCTCGTGGACCCGCGGACGAAGAGGATTTACACGACCGGCATGATAGAGAAGGCGCTGGACATGCTGTCGTCGGCGGCGCACTCTGCTGCAGAGGATGCGGCCGGCGCGGGAAAGAAGGGCGGCAGCAGCGCGGTGAACAGTGGCGCCGGAACGCCTGCGGGCGGGGAGGAGGGGGAGGCGAAGCCAAGGGAGAAGAGCGTGCCGCACTGGACGGGCGTGGTGACGACCAAGTCGGCGAAGAGCCAGGCGCTGGAGGCGATGAAGGCGCTGATCGCGGCGCAGCCGATCCCCGTGCAGAGGGCGCGGATGAGGCTGAGGGTGACGTGTGCGACGAGCGTGCTGAAGCAGGCCGTCAAGTCGGCGGCGCCCAAGAGTGGCGAGGACGGGGAGCAGGCCAAGGCGGGGACCGTCAAGGACCGAATCCTAGGTTTCGTGGAGCAGGTCGAGAGCCAGGACGTGCTGGGCAGCGAGTGGGAGGTCGTGGGCTTTGTCGAGCCGGGTGCGTTCAAGGGGCTGGGTGACTTTATCTCGAGCGAGACGAGGGGACAGGGACGGGTTGAGGTGTTGGATATGGCTGTTATCCATGAAGACTAGAGATGAGGGAGTCGAGGGGAAGTAAAAGGGAAGAGAGAAAGACATGGCATGATACCCCCTAGATCGAGGGTTTGTTCTTAATGATACGAATATGGCATAATGGTCTTAACGTTTAGCACGCTTCACGTTGCGATGCTGCTTGCTGCCTGTGATGGGGTCATGCTGAAGTACCAACGTATGCTACGATGAGGAGTTTGCCATTATCCACACACTGCTCTGGGAGCTATAGCCTTCACCATAGAGCCCTGGGGAGAGAGTCCGAGATCAGCAAGTTCATATGCTGAGGCAGCACCCTCAACGACGTCAAGGCCGTCAGGGGGCAGCCGGATACCTCCATCACCGGCATCGTACAGACCGCCGAAGGATAATACCCACACGGCGGCAGCAGCTCCGCGCGCTTGGATGTCGCACATGTCCAAAATGGCAGACAGTTGATATGTCACTAAAAGGTCCACCATAAAATCCGGAATACGGAAACCCAAGCGCAGATTCAGAGAATGGCATGTCACAAGTTTATACGATCCTGGCATGTTGAACAACAAATCAATTCCCATTTTTAGACACCAGTAGTCACATCACAAGGAACCAAAAGTCAACTTTTTTGAAAGCCTTTTTGTTTCTTGGTATGATGGAGACTCTTCCGTTGTTTGTTCACGTTATCTGAATAGCAATCCCCTCCTCAGCCGGTGGTGGTAATGCCCCAGAGAATGAATCATCATCATTTTGTTGTAGATGGATGTTGTCGCCAAGAGACAAAGAGAGAAAAACCAAGCCCGATAACACGCCGGCCGCCTTAATGTTTGTTGGTCCCCAGCCGCAACACCACCCAAACCCTCGTCAGAGTCGTCATGACGAGCGATACGTTTAGCCACCCTTCTTCTTGGAGACACCGACGGTACGGCCGCGGCGACCGGTGGTCTTGGTGTGCTGACCACGGACACGGAGGCCCCAGTAGTGACGGAGACCACGGTGGGCGCGGATCTTCTTGAGGCGCTCGAGATCGTCGCGGAGCTTGGAGGCGACACCGTTGGCGAGGATCTGGCTGTCCTTGCCGTCGACGATATCGCGCTGTCTGTTGAGGAACCACGCGGGGATCTTGTACTGGGTGGGGTTCTGGATGATGGTGACGATACGCTCGAGCTCTTCCGAGGTGAGCTCACCGGCGCGCTTGTTCAGGTCGACTGTTGGGGCGAAGTCAGCATCTCTGGCGACTCTCTCTCGGTTTTCTCCTCCTCAGAAGCAACAGATTGCCTCTACTCGGGATCGTGGGGAAACGTACCATCGGCCTTCTTGCACACAATGTTGGAGTAACGACGGCCGACACCACCAATCTTGGTGAGGGCGTACATGACCTTCTCCTGGCCACGAACGTTGGTGTCTGTGAAAAGCGCACGTTAGCCTCTCGTGTCCATCATTACTCGAAATTCGGAGTGTTTGTCGTCGCGTGGAATCGTCAAATGCGTGTGTAGGTGTGTGTGTGTGTTGGGAGAAAGGTTAAAACGTACTCAGAAGACGAAGGATGAACTGGAAGTTCGCTGTGACGAGACTGTTAGCCGATTGCGCTCTCCTCCATAACTGTATCGTTTCGCGGGTGGTAACGCACTCTTCTCCCCCGAGACGAGCGACATGCTGGGCAACTGTCGAGATGGTTGCTCCTAGGTGTCGGGTGTTGATGGTTGACGACGAAGTCGGGATACAGACAAGCAATGATAGAGTTGGAGGTGCGCTTCGGGTGTGGGAAATTTCTGGCGTGGCGTGGGCCTCGCTAGGGTAGGGTCACGTGCAAGGCCGACGCACCTTTTTTTTTTTCCTCGCTTGACCACCTCCCTCGCAGTCTCTGCCACGAAAAGAGTCGTCCGTCGTTGGTCCATTGCCCCTGCTGAAACCCCACTATGGGTCTGAGGGGCAGTCTTTGTTGTATTTGATTGGCTGTTCCTACCCGCTGTTCTCGGCCAGTCTAACATCGAGCACTGTGAAGTCCATTAAATTGACGGCCCCATGGAAAAGGACCCTTGGTGCTTTTCAGAGTGCCATTGCAAGTGTGAATGAGCCTGGGTATTTTGTGTCATTTACTGGTCTATGGTCTACTGCCGAAATTCTACTATGACCTGCAATTAGTTCCTGTCGCGTCACCACTGCAGCATCAACCGAGAATTGTCAAGACATCAAGGCAGGCACTCATATGCGGTCGGTAGGTAGGTGTTACAGTTTCATTCAGTATAATGCCATAGCACAAGCACAAGAAACTCTTGCGACTCTGATACAATCCCCCCTCATTAAACATTTACATAAACCATAGAGCCACGAGAGGGATATATGTTTGAAGTTTCGAATGTGTATTGCTCTCCTTTTCTGTCATCTCCACATTCCTCCCGTTGGATATCCCGACCCAGCAGCCCAACCCAAACTCCCCGTCCCCAACTCCGTCGTACGTCGTGCACTATCAAATCCCATTTCCCTATGCTGCCGGGGCCGGAGCCGGGGCCACAGTTGGTGGATTAGCGGGCGCCTGATTCGCCCCGTCGAGAACGGCCGCAGGGGGTTGCGCCGCAGGCTGAGCAGCTGGTGCTGGAGCTCCTCCCGGGCTCGATCCCACGATTACCACACCTGATCCCGAGCTTCCCTGAGGCGGCGGTGGGGAAGCAGCAGCAGGTTGCGCTTGGTTAGCCCCGGCGAGAACCGCGGCGGCATCAGTTGGGGGTGCTGGCGCGGCGGCTGGCTGGCCCTGGTTTGCGCCGACGGCAATGGCACCAAGAGATCCTCCCTGGGCTGGAGGAGCCGCAGCAGCTGGAGGAGGAGCGGCAGCCGGAGGAGCGACGGCAGGAGGAGCGACAGCAGGAGGAGCGACAGCAGGAGGAGCGGCCACAGCCGGCTGGTTGGCACCAACGGCAATGGCACCCAGAGGCTGTCCCTGCACCTGTCCGGCGTTGTTAAAGATGCCCAGACCCGAGAGACCCGCAAGCTGTGCGGCAGCGATCTGCTGGAACGAGGAGAAGATGTTCAAAGCAGCTCCAGCGAGTGCCGGATTGCCGGCAGCAGCATTGGCGGCCGTCGAGGCGCAGTCTGTTAGGAAAGTAGCCGCGTTGGAAACGAAGAGACCGGCCTGATTCGGCAGAATGATGGCGGCGGGGTCCGGAACGGACGCGGCCAGCTGAGGAGCTTGCGTGCCCGCGGGGAGGATGATGCTCTGACCGACTTGTCCAAACGGAGCGGCCTGGTCGAAGGCAGCAAGCTTGAGGGTGGTGTCGCTTTCGTCGGCTCCTGGAGTGGGAGCGGCGGCGGCTTGGACACCGTCGATGTTGTTTGACACGGCATCAGAGGCAGAGTCGAGTGCCACGCGGGCTGCCCCGAAAGTGTCGGATTGCGAAGATGCCGCCTGTTGCGTTGAGATGTCCATAGGTGTCGGGTCGTTAACCATTACCAAGGCTTGCTGTCCCGGCTTGCCATTGTCGGCGAGGAGCTGGTTCACGAGGTATCGCTTGTTCTGTCCTCCACCTTGGCGGTTGTCAACGACGCCTGTGACGGTCACAATGATGGTGTTCTGGTTGCAGTCTTAGCACAGGACCAACTTGGAATAACAGATGCAGGACACCAGGAGAAACTCACCGCTTGGGGGAACTGCGCCTTGAAGTGGTTGATGCGAATGTTGTCCTTGACAGCCTGCAGTTGCGTCGCAAGAGCAAGCTGGGATTGTACCAGCAACGCCAATTCCCTCTCATTCTGGCGCTGGAGCTGGTTGATCTTGTCGAGGTTCTCCTGCACGACGATGATGTTGGGCTTGATGATGTTTTGTATAATCGTCACGTCTCCGTTGTTCTTGTTATTGTTGTTGTTGTTCTTTCCATTATTGTTATTCTTGTTGTTCTTATTTTGGTCCTTGTTCTGGTCCTGCTTTTGCGCGTCCTTGTCTGCGGCTTTGGCGTCTTGCGCGGGTGCAGTTGCTGGGGCTGTCGAGGCAAGTCAGTACCTTGTCCAGCCATCATGTCGCACTTGAGACCTACCAGCAGCAGCAAGTGAGCTGAAGACCGCAAGGCCAGTGAGAAGATGTTTCAGTTGCATTTTGAGTCTCGTCACACCAAAGATTAGAATTTAAAAGAAAGGACAGGTATGATGCCAGGCACAGCCAAATGCAAATCGATTACGCATAGAGAATAGAATGAAGGTATTAGGCGACCTCTAGGGCTCACCGAGAGAAAGAAACGGTCGTGGAAAGTAAATGCGAGGCCAAGAGATCTACTCCTGTGAAGTAAATCCTATGATCTCTCACGATCCGCTGCGATGGGGTGCGAATTCGGAGCCTCGTCTTTAAGTACAAGCCTTCGACCACTCCACGAAAATCCGCCCTCTGTCGATGAATCCCTCCTGCCGCCGGGAGCAGCGTTTCCCGTCGTCCACCGCGGAATGCCTGAACGAAGCGAGGACATCGCAGGGGATGGACAGACGATCTGGTGGACATCGTCTCGTCACCAGCCCCGGCCCTAGTCTTCGGAGGTTAAAGCACACGGGACAGCATGATTTTAGAGGGGCATTCGAGGCGCAAAGAGGCATCTCGAGCCCTGAGACAAGGAGAAGGGTCCTTTGGGGGAGGGGTAAAAGAGGGCACCAGCCTGTCTGCCGAACTATGCTTCTCGTGAGTCCTGCCATCCAACCTTGACAGGCTCTGACGTGCCGTCTCAACCGCCAGGTACACAGCTGTCAACGGGGCATCATCCCATCGACGACAGGACGAGTTTCGGGATCGAGCCGCCAATCACGTTGGCCAAATGACCCCAGCCACTTTCGCGACCCACGCGAAACGGTAGGGCGGAAGAGCCTCATCCGGGCCCTCTGTCATCGGGGCTTTTCCATCTCCTGGTCTTAAGAGTCAGGAGTCGGGAAGCGCGCCGTATTGTAAAATCTGGCAAGTCGTCGCGAAAATGCCGGTGATAATCATTGCGCATCTTGGTCGGTTGATGCTCGGCATGTCGATTGCCAAGGGGATCATTGCTGGGATTTGCGTTGGCAAAGGTGCGCTCTCACGTTGAAACGTAACACAGAGCGAAATTTCAAGTCGAGTGCGGCTTTTGAAGCTAGGAAAAGGGGCTTAAAACTAAAGTTTTCATTTGAGTTAAGCTCAAGCCGATGCTGATGCCAAGATGGGGCAGAAAACGACTCTGTTCCGCCTGAACCGATGGCAGCTTGGCTTTCGGAGGATGTCGAAGCTTGTTTTCCTTCAACTAGATGGCGGTTTGGCTGTGCGCAGATGGAGCACACCCGAAACACCGACGGGAGCCCCTAACCCCTGTTCTTGTTTAGTAACGCAGCAACTACAATGCAACTGACGAATTTGCAGGGATCGTGTGTCAATCGCGATTCCGTGGCGTGTTACCTCGTGTAAGCGTTATTGTAATTAAGTATCTATCGTATGGTGAACTGGGACTCGTGGGCTTTCAGCCCCAGCTCGCAAGTCGTCATGCCATTCTCGTCAAGTTCCGTAAATCGCGTTTCCTAACCACAGCACCGCCAACAATCCCACAACCCGAAGCTTCAATGCGCCGTTCGAAACAGATGTGCCGCTCTGCTTCGCACTCCCAGCCGCCTTCTCTGCTGCTTTGTCGTCTGCCACTGCGGGCTGCCACGGAATAGGACTCTTCTTACCGTCCTTAACGGGTCGACCCAAAGTGACGTCCTCAGATTCCTCCTGGTTCTCAGTACCTGTCAAGCTGCAGGCAATTCGTCGGGTGGCACTGTGGCTCTTAGCGCAAGCCCAGAGGAATATAGCTGCGATTATCACTACTTCGAGCGACCTCGGGAGGTAGCCCGGGCGCCCGATTCTTAACACCCCGGCGCCATCGCTGGCTAACCAGATGTGGTGGTGAAGAACGTACGCCTCGAGGGACAACCGTCCAAGAGTTGCACCCAGTGGAACGTGAAGTTCACGCAGTGCTTTGAAGGAGTTACGTGTGATAACTGCTGACAGGACAAACCAGGGACTGGTGTATGGGTGAAAAGCGTTGTAGGAGTCGTTGTTGTGGTAGACGTCCGCCGCAAATGCTAGGATGATGAATACGACGAGATAGGCAATCGCAAAGCATATCATTATCGGCTTCACCGGTATCGCGTCTCTCTCGGGATACGCGATCTCCAAAATCCCACGATCAAAGGCGTCGTTGGCTCTTTCGAATGGCGCGCGAGCGTTGATGCCATGCTGACGGCGGCGAAGAACGGAAACCCGGTGTGCAGCTGCAGCTGTGAGTATGCCAAAGTACGGCACAAAACGATTCAACGCGAAATGCGACCGCAGCATATCCACGTTCCAATGAATGCCGCTGGTTGACTTAAGAATTCTCAAAAACGTCTCCGGGAGGTGTGTGCTTCGGACCAGGAAGGTCGTGCAGGTTGCGAAGACCACAATCTTGACGAAGAAGGCGACAGGGTTGTTGTTGAGTGTTTTGAAACAAGCCAGCGATGCAAATGTTACTCCGAACCAAAACGTCATGAGCGGCGCCGAGTAGATGATCCATTCGCTAGACGTCGCCAGGCCTAAAATGCAGCTGAGAAGGTTGAGCCGGACCAGCACATACGTTGCCCGTCTTAATGAGAAGTCCTCTGTACGAAGAAAGTAGCTTGTGTGGCCATAGCAGGACAGAAAGATGTAAGTCGCCACTAGGAACTTGTGCACCTTGTACATCGCGAGTGACTCGGATGCTGCGTGGTAGTTGTACAGCAGAATGAACGCCTGCATCCAGCCCTTCCACTCGTCGGTTTGTTCACGGGACAGAAATGAAGTCGTCGCGAGACCTTTTGCGGAAGACAGAACAGGCGGTCTTGACCGCAGGGAGAGACCTGCGAGAATTGCCAGACCAATGACAGGCAAGATGAAGTCGGGTACGTCGAAATGCTTATCATGCTTGATCAAGAGGTGAGTGCGGTCGGCGAGCAGGCAGTAAACAGCAATGGCGACGAGGGTGGCTGCGGCAAGCAGAGAGTCCATGACCTGCGACGTGCGAGCGGAAGGGAACGCGTCCTGTCTCCGGTCCAGAAATAGGATAGGCAGCGCTAGAATACTGAGTCCAAGAAGCAGGACCTGAACCCTTGACAGGGACGGGTAGGGGGCGCAACAAGTAATCTGGTTTGCGTATCCATTTCTGACCAATCCAGAATTGCAGTGAGCGTTCAAAATAACGTCGAGTTTCCGCTCGGCCACAATGTCTACAGCATGCAGCCCATCGTCAAGGAGAGCATCGTCGTGGCTAACCAGCATTGCATTGTAGCTCTGAATGACATGTGTTCGTTCCGCCGGCTCAAAATTGTCCAGATTCCAGTTCATGGCGTCTATCTTCTCGGGCGTGATTGTTCTTGCCCGGGACGTCAATAGCTTGTCATACGCTGGGATAGGCACGGGTGCGACAAGCACATGGTTGGAGAGCTCTTCGAATGCCGACTGCGACTTGCTCTTGGGCAGCACCACCAAGTGATCAAAATCACGATGCAGGTACGGCATCAGGTTGTTGATGCCTTCTCTGAAGAGCTCCAAGTACCGATCACCGCCCTGGCGAGCCGCCCAGAGACCTGGTGTACCAACAACAATAAGGGCGGCCGAGTCTTTGCCCTCCTCGCGGACGAGTTTCTCGTAATCTGCAGAGCCAGGACGTTCCCGGAATCGAGCCAATTGGCTGAAAAGGGCGGTGGAGTTGAGCCATGGGTCCCAGATGAATTCGAGCTTCACACCCTCAACGTCCTTGGCAAGGTTCAGGTGCTTGTTCTTGGAAACGGCAAAGTCGAGGATGGCTTTCTCGGCGACGTGATGATCCAACCGGGTCATGGCAGCGAAGTAGATCTGGCGCATGGTCGAATCGCCGGCAATCACTAGGTGACGGTCCCTCAAGCAGCTCGACATATCTTCACGGGACAGCTCGCGCATGCGACAGTCTTCGGGCTCCCATCTCTTGAAGACATCTCTCGGCAGGTTTGAGTCTTGACTAGAGCGCCATCTCCCACTCGAGAGCAGGCTATCGCACCTGTAAGGATCGTGTTGGCCTGTGGTTCGTATCAGCTCGTATTATTTTGAAGTTGGGGGGGGGGGGGAGACGGGGGAGCAGGTAGGGGGCTTGCAGAATCCATACCGAATACAAAATACTGATAGACAACACAAAGAATCAAGATAACGAGGGAGAGGCGTGGTAAAATCTTTAGGAGAAGCGGCGAGCTCCCTGCGGAGGCGGCCAGCCTTTGGATGCGGAGCATCGCAGGCTAGGAGAGAGGAAAAAGGAACCACGGGAGGCGCGACGTGAATCAATGTTCCGACTGGTGGTAGCGGCGGCGGTCGTGGTCGGCGGGAAACGGCATTCTCTTCCGTTTAGTGTCGTAAAAGGTTTCCCGGGCCGCTGCCTCGGTGCGGCGCTGCGAAGAAGGACGGGACGGCAACGGAGGGACACACTCGCACGCGCTCTCTCTATCTCTCCCTTACACACACGATCGCGCGTGTCTCTCTCGTGAGGAGGATGTGAGAAGAGGCGGGAGGGAAACGGTTGAAAGGATCAGACGTGGTGAGTTACCCCCTCCTCCAGGCGCGAATGCGAGACCGCGGCTGCCATTTCCCTTATAATGCCAACAAGCCATAGGCTGCAGAAGCCAAGAAACGGGCGGATGACAGGGCTGGCGCTGCCAAGAGTCCGCTACGGAAAGAGACCCGTCCATGGTCTTGGGATCTCATTCCTCAGCGAGCCAGTCTAGAGGATGGTGGGAAGCTCTCAGGCGCAACGGGGAAGGGATGCGCCTTCAGGCTTAGGGGGCCGCATTGGCAATGAGGATTACGGATACGCAGAGGGAGGGTGGGCGTCACCGTCAGCGCCTGCACCCATTCGCCTACGATGGCAGGTGCGGTTGGCGAGATGGAGGATCCGAGATAACAGGCCAGAAAGCGAAAATGCCCTCCAAGACCCCTGTGGACATACAATATCCCTGTCGCGGGAAGGCTCCTTTTGGAAAAGCACCACGCGACCTTCCTGTGGGGATAGAGGTTGCAGGCGGGCAGCAGGCACCACCCTCTGGTCGAGGCACCTGCCCGCCGCCCGCTGCTGCTGCCCGCTCGGAGCACTGTGCTCTGGGCAGCAAAAAGAACACTGTGTGAGCTGTACTTACGTGCGTCAACACTGTGCAGAGCCACGGCCGAGCAGCGTCAAAACGCCGATCTCTCAGGTCGGACAAACACAGTGCGGCCCACCTCCGTGGCTAGAGTCGCACGCTGACAGCCAAGAAGGCGCACCGCTTATTTTTCGGCTGGGCGAATTTTTTTTCCTTCCTTCTCCTCACCATTTTATTGACATGCAATCCTTCAATCTGTATTCAGCCTGCAGTCGCAACCGGCGGCACAGCTCTTGGTCTTTTTGAGGTTCGCCATGCTGCTCCAAGCGCATGAGATTGCTTACTGGAACATGAGCGACAGGCAACAGAGTCAATGTTGACATCCCACTGCCAATTGCAGTCGCGAAACCATCGGTAGGTCATGGCGCAGCTCGACTCCATGTCTGTTTCTGTTTCTTTCCTGTGATACACCACGCCGTCTTTTGCCATAGCTCGATCAGTTTAGCCTTCCCGACTGCTGATCTTGAGCCGGATACACCACGCTTCGGCGACGTGTACAAGACAAGACCAAACCCCAGACAATGTTCTTTGAGTACGGAACCTTTAGACTTGAAGTGAAGGCTTTCGTAATTTATCTGTTGTCACATCTCTGAAATATCCGGCCTCCTTTGGCGTTGGTTTACGCCGACAACATGGTCCAGTCAGTAGCAGATCTCATCTTTGTAACCCGTAATCACCGGTCTCCCGACAGCCAATTGCAATATTGCGATTCGTTTCATTCAGACTTCAAATACCTGCCTACTTCTGGCTGCTAGCATGATTTGCTGTCTCCGTTGCAATGTTCAGGGTCTCCTCCATATTCGTATGGACTAGCATCGCCTCAGGAATCCCAACGCCAGTGCTTGGCCCTTCCCACTGTATTTCGATGCCAAAACTTGAGACCCAATACCGTCCTGACATGCTTTTCTGCTTCTCGTCCAGTTCTCTGCACACACTTCCTTCGATCCCTTCAGAAGCGATCCTTGCACTTGGCCTTCAGAAGCGAAAGCAGACCCTGCCGGTCGTACTCGTTCAGCTTGTCCTTCTGGACCGAGCTGACATGCTCAACATGGACCTCCTCGAGGCCATGGATAAGCAGGAGCTCGTCGGCGCCGAGGCAGTCCATCAGTCTCCGCTTGTTCAGAGAGAAGAAGCTGGCCAAACCAGCCTCGCGCGTGTTGAGAATGGTCATCGTCGCCTTGGAGATCTTGATGGTAAGGTTTCTCAGGCTGGGGCATTTGGCCAGGTTCTCGAATGCCTTGTTGGCCATGGGGCCGCACCAGTGGACATGCGCGTTGCGCAAGTACGTCCGAAGCTTCGTGTTGCCTTGGAGTGCCTTGTTGAGAGTGCAACAGCAGGAGAAGTACCAGTTTCTCTTCTTGTACAGGACGTCATAGAACTCGTCACCCAATGACATGCCAAGCTGCTTGAACGTCTTCTTCTGAGCCTTGGAGACCACTGGGAACTTCTCCCTCTCTGGGTTGACGCAGTTGCAGGTACCCCACTTGACCGGCTGCAACTTCTCAGTGTCACCATGCTGGTCGATGATCATGTCGAGGATGCGGGCTCGGATTTCCCGGGGGAACTTCATGAAGGGGAATGCTGCAGGAGGAGGAGGGCGGTCTGTTGTGTGAAAGTCAGCACATGCCCTCTAAGAAAACAAAGGATGCAGTGGCCCAACGGTCAAAGGCTGAATGAATGGGGGTTGACTGATACTCACTAGCGATGTCCAAGATCTCAGTGCACATCTCAATCAGCTTGATACAGTTCTTCTGCTCCTTTGGCTGCTTCTGCATCAGGAGTGCAACCTTGCGGATGGTGTCGGTGATGGCCTTGCGGTTTTCGTTGCTCATGCGGACCATCCGGCCAAGCTCGTACTCGTCCATCATCTTCGCCTTGACATCGTCCAAGTACTGCAGTAATTGCTGGGCGTTCTTGGAGAGACCGTATTTCTGAGGTACCTTCTCCATGGCCAGGAAATACCAATCCCTGGTGGCTTTGATCAACCATCCTCCGTAGGTGGGCTGCAGGGACGCCATTGTTGTTGATTTGATCGGTTTGTTAAGATGTGGCTTCTTGGTTGAAACTGGATGGCGGACAGGTAGATCGTAATTATCAATCAAGGTCCTTGTGACTGCTGCGCGTTTGATTCAGTTTGTTAAGCTGGCGGCACTACTTCAGTTCAGCGTAGTCCAGCTCTCAACAACAAAGGGTAACTCACGATAGGTGCCAAGGCATCTGCTGTGTGTTGATGGCTGCCGTCCAAGAGATCGTAAGATGTGTATTAGAGACTCACTCTCAAATGAGTGCGGCCACTGAATATTCTGGACAGATTCACTTGAATCAGGCTGTGCCTGCTGGAAAAAGAAGCGCGAATGCTTCCTCAAGCATACCGTGTGAAAGGTGCTGGTCGGTTGACGCTTGGTGGGAAGCACGGAAGATGATGGATGGGTTGGTAGAGATGAGAACGGGCAGAAAGATATCAACCAACGAAGTAATTATCTCAGGCCAGTGAGGATCTTGTTCTTGGAAGGTGGCTGATATTTGAAGGTGAGAGGGGTTTGTTGGTTAGAGTGGGGGTAGGATAGTAGGAGAGGAAGCTGGCGAAGATGGCCGAGGTGGGCGGTGCAGGGTAGTAGTCGAGTCCAACTCAGTCGCAGCCTCGAGGGTTGTGATGGGGAGTGACGAGGCTGACGGTCGACTCGCTAAACCGCGCCTTGGGGCGAAAAGTGTAAACAGAAAGAGTCGTGGTCGCGACGGGAAGGTGCGCCGAGGGCACAACGAGGAAGAGGGTTGGCAAGGACATACTACCTGCAATAACCACGTATGGATATCGCCCGAGTTGAGCGTTATTCAAGGCAACAGAATGGACACCATTTATCGATGGGCGTTGTGAAGATAGCAAGAAGGACAGCCGTATGGTTCAAGGCGCCGAGTTCGTCGATAGCGACAATCAAGGCCATGATGATGATCACAGCGTATTTGGCCACCGCATTTTGGGAATGGGAAGAACGCCAACCCACCAAATTACAGTTACAACTGTGAGAATCATCATAGATGTCGATTATCTCGGAGATGATTTTTTGCGTGCAGAAGATTGTTCGTTTGATTTAATACTAGCCTGGGGCTTGGTCGTATCCCAGCTCCTTGCAAATGCCATATGCAGCGTGGTCACCATATGTACGTACACCTTGACAGCATCCAAAATCCTCCCTCCCAGATAGTGTTTTCCACCAAGGACAATCGTCTTTTCCCGTATCATAAGCCAATACCAACTCCGATGCAATGCTTTTCATTAACGACAGTGATTCCTCCCAAAAGACATAAGTTCCTAGACTCTCTCATCTTCCTCCGGCACAGACCGGACAAACGGCCCCTCGCGCGCAACTGAATTCATCCGGCGCGGGCTCTCGTCCACACTGTTGTGTCTTGAGGTGCCGGGACTGACGCCGATGCTGTAGTAGCTTGACCGCGTGTCGCGACTGGGCTGCCTTTTGCCAAAGGTGAGCGTGAAGCCGTTGAGAATTTCTTGGTGGCGGAGGTTGGTCTCGCTGAAAGGCCTCTCGCGGGGATCGGGCTTCTCCTTGGCGGCCTTCTTTTCCGGCTTCTCATCTTTTGAGAACCATCGCAGTGTTTTGGCGAGACGGAGGGCCCCAGGGGACTTGGATTCCGGCGATGAGCAGCCGTTTCCTTGGCTAGGCTCAGAGATGGACTTGCGGCGGCGGAAGTGGTCACGGATGGCCATAGTGGATATAGCTGGTGGGAGAGGAATATTTCAGATGTCGAAGGTATGGGTCGTATCGACAGAAGGGTGTCGATCAGCCACAGATAAGGTGCTGATGGAGATGTTTAGACAAGGACTGGTACCGATGAAGTTGATGAGAGTCCGTGGGTACCTGTAGATGCTGTGGGTGCTGATCTGTGGTTGGGACAAATTTGGGAGGGAAGGGGATGCCAATGGTATTTAACAAAGATGGGCAAGAATACTGAGAATGACTGGCTGCAAGACGGATGTGGCAATGCCAAAGAAAGCACCGTTAGGTCGATCCAAGATGGTGGGATGCACGTCGTTCGACGGCCTTCTTGGACCTTGCATTGGTGGGTTCAAGCTTCTGGAGTGCTTTCACCACCGCTGAGTCTGCAGAACAGGGCCTGAGACTAACACCATCACACCACCCCAGAATCGGTTTCTGGGCTTGCTGCCGCTGTGTCCGCGTTACGTGCCTAGGGTTGGATGGGTGGTAGTCTGCAAGGCGCTACGCCTCTACGGGTGCTTGCGGGGTGGGTGCTTTCGATGCGGGCCGACGTCATTCCAAAAACCTCTGGCCCGGCGGTCGTTCTCGACCAAAGGAGTCCTCGCTTGTCTCCGGCGCCTGTAAATCAGAAAGCCCGATGTTCGCTGCTCGCCGCTGATCGAAGATGATCTCCAACGTGGCGGGGTTGGTCTCTGACGGTCTCGACTCGACCTCAGCACTCATTGTTCTGAAAGACGGCCATTCCAAAGTGTGTTCTTTGTAGACGTCGAACCGTCTCCGATGGTCCCGGCTAGGCCGCTGAATGATGGGGGGTCTGGATGCGAGCCATGTCTTACTTAGTGCCAGGCACCTTAAATGTAAGGGTGCATTTAGTGACACCTCTCAGGCTTAAGGACGAGGAAAAATCCGCGCGTGGACGCTGAAAGAAGTTCGATTGGTGCATTTATCTCCAATCTGCCAAACCACTCCCGGAACGCCACCCTCAACTAAGGTAAGAGGCAACCGCCTGCCGGCCACCAGCCTCAGGCGGTGGCCGTCCTCGAGCTCTGTCGAATACCATTTGTCCAGGTAAACCGTGATGCAAGCTGACAAAGAGCTTTGCGTTGTGAACAGGCATCCAAGGCCGCTAAGTGTTTTTCGCCCTCCCCATCCGTTTCAACCGCTCATCGCGATGTGCACTCGGCACCGAACACCCCAGCGCTGCTGGATCCCAAGCCGCCGAGAGCTGTCAGGCCCCATGCCAGAGCTGCAGACTCCCAATCCAAGTCACCATCAGGCATTTCATCTCCTTCGACCGCGGAGCGGCTCTCTGCGGCGCTCGGCTCGTATGCATCGTCTGGTACCTCGTCAACTTCTTCCGTGGCTCTGCGATCTCGGGTTCGGCGATTCCCTTCGGCCGCAGCCGTCTTTGAAATTGTCATCTCGCCGGTTTTCGCTTTCGCTGGGCGGCCCCTGCGTCGCGTGGAGATCGCGCTGGTGTGGCTGCCCGTTTCCGATTCCGGCGTTGATTTGTCGTTACCTTCCAGCAGTCTGGTCAGTGGCTGCGCCTTCGGGGCATTCTTCTGCGCGAAGGGTGTCGAGGAGGCCAGAATGTCGTCCACATCCAGCGCACGTGTGGCAGCCCATAAACCTTGGCTGGCACCGCTGAGCAAAACGTCCCATGCCACGCCTGCTACCACGGGGTGGTCGGATGCCGATCCCAGGACCTTGCCGAGAGCCGTTGTTGTTCGCTCCCACGTCGAGCGCTCTTCTCTGTCGAAGGGGAGGAACCGACTATGACGATGATAGTGAGCGTCCGGTGCGTTGTACAGCAGGCCAAGGGCAGTCCCTTTGACGTGAAATGCGAAACTCGCCGTGGACAGAAATCGGAATAGCTCAGTGACGATCCTGTATGCCCCATGGTGATTAGAGTACACCGTTCCCCAACTGGCCGGAACAACGGCTGGAATTATGACGGGCGCGAACGTCAGAATTCTTCCCAACACTGCGATGTTTCTGAACGTCATTGTTCCGGTCGTTGATGGTGCCCAGTATATCAGCACGTAGTTCAGGCAAAAGGACGCGAGGAGTAGCGCCGGATGAGGGAACCAGTCTGCAGGCTTAGGAGGAAAGACCTTGTCGCGAAGGCGTCCGAATGCCGTAGTTGGCTGTTGCCCATACTCAGACTGAGCCGGAGTTGGCGTAAGAATCGACGCCAGGTAAAAGAGGTTTTGCGCGAACGACAAGTTTACCAAATGAGCTAAAGAGAGATACGCCCACAGAGATGGGATGTTCCTCCTTCGGCCTTCGACCGCCAGCAGAAGGCTCCAGGAGATTGTCGCGAGTTCGATCTGTTGTCCCCACCAGAACCGGCGAGCCTTCTCCGCGATAATCTCCAGGGCGTCCAAATGGACTGGAGTATCGCTCAACCAGCGACCGACGTAGACCTGAGTGGCATTCTCGCCGTAAGGGAAGACACCGTTGTCGCCGTAGAACCTAGAAGTTCGGTCAGTCAGCGAGCCAGACAAAGAAACATACCCAGGTACAACGAACCTAGCTGGGGATTCCACTCCGCGCTGATCGGCCCAGACACGATATGATAGCTTTGCGTAGCTCAATGTCCAGTAACCTGCGAGCGAGAGGCTGACAAGAGTGAGGCCCGCAAAAAGCGGCGAAAGAGTTGACCTCCGAACCAGTCTTGCTCTTGTTCCTTGGGACGGCGGGAGATCTCGATATGATCTGTACAAACTCTGAGCGACAGTGAAACCAAGATATGCCACCGTCAGCGCGTGGCCGCCCACCAGGCTCAAAGGCAGGTATCTGTAGACTGCGTTAGAATGTCGATCATCAACCATTCCTTTGACAGTAGACAAACACACTTGATTTCTGGCTCCAGGGGCACCGGCGCCATGTTTGCTTCTCCAGTCTGTTGATTCTGTTGATGTTTGCTACCTTATCCCTCGATGTATGAGGCAGATGGGAGGTAATGGCCTCGAGTGACGAAGAAATGAGGTTGAGGCTGGCCTCTGGCCTCAGGGGACGCTCTTACGGCACGCGTCATCGTCACACAACCACGTCCGTTCCTTGGAAGCTCAATCGACAGGCTCTTCCATCGTTGATCACAGACTGCCTGTACAGCTACTTCTGTGTCGGGCCATACAGGTCCTGCGTCATGGTAGCGGTACTGGACAGGGTCTCTGCTCCAAATGTGGACCCATCCATCGTGCACGGTCCAATGGAGGCCGGAGAAACACAGGCGGCGGTTTCGCTAGCGCCTAACCCCAATCAGCCCCACCCCTGGTCGACCATAAAATCTCTGCTCGCGATGCGAAATCTACCATTCTTTTCTCTTCTTCACTACATCAGTTGGGTTAAACTTACACCGTCATGTGTATTTTTAATTCTAATGGCGGCTCCGCATAGCGGCTTGCTGAGGGTTGTCCTGTTCTCCGTGGATTTCCTTCCGTTCCCGGCCCCCTAAATAAAATCCCATGTGAACACCTTTCCTTATCAGCCGAGTACGACGACTTTTCCTGGTATTTGACTGTGGGGTGGTCTCAACAGACTATTTTGAGATTTTCGCGTTGATTGTAGTAAGCCTTGCCGTTACGCGGTCTTTGCCGCGTTGTTCCATTGGAAAGAAACTGCGCTCCCCGTAAACCGACGCCGACCACAATACGAATTACGCCGGATATTTCCTGTGTCTCTTCAGACGTGTTGTCGCAGTCTAGACGAACGCGATGAAGTGAGTCTCGTTCATGTATGCGCTACTGGGAGCAGTTGAAAAAAACATCGGCTCTTTAAAGCCGAGGCAAGCATGTTGAATATCTAAATCGCCCGCGTATCCCATACCAAGACCTATCCAGCAATGCTGGACCACAACCAACTTATCTGTCCATGACCTCAAGCAATTCTGTTGGATATCGAAAGACACAACGCCTCATACGTCAAATGACTAGTGCAAGTAGTACTCAAGTATTCCCCTGCATCCCAGACAAGCTCATTTGCTCCGTTCAATTCGTAGCGCATCGTCTCGGAGGCCATATCTCAACGGCTCAAACGTAGGCTCTTCCGCCCCCAGAGCGGTTCTTCTTCCAGACCAAGAAAACAAGAGCAATCGTGGCCAAGGCAAAACCGCAAGTCACGAATTGCATGGCCTGGTCAGCAAAGGCCTTCTTGCAATTGCCAACGACTTGATCGGGAGTTCCGGTGCTCGCCGAGCCGTCTCCTGATGCTGCCTTAGTTTTTCCCCTGTTGATGATGTCATTTTCATAGAGTCTTTCAAGTTCTTCGCCGTTGCCAGGGTCGCAAGTGATCCCGCGAAGGCCGATTGCAAATGCCTGATGGACAGTTAGTGGATGACACTGTTCATCAAAAATGAATACATACAATGCCACCGGCAAGGAGCAACACCCCGCTGACGGCATCGGCTGCCATCACAATAAGCGCCGGGATGAAATCGAAAAACGCGGCAGCTGCGCCGAAAACAGCAACAGCTAGCCCAAAGCCACCGCAGAATACGCTGTATTTGGTGGTCGTTGGCACTGCAGCAACAGGGCGGCCGTCGTCAATTAACCCTCTTATGTCTTTGGTCAGCTCAATAGAAAGAGCGAGTACTACAATGGCCATGATGGCCTGCGATATGTCAGTTGTGATTCGGAGGTAAGGATAGCCGAGTACGAACCTGAAGGCCCCAAACGCCTACGCTGATAAACTTGAGCATGGTGTCGATCGGTTGACGAGAGTAAGGTTATGGTTGGGAGGCTACGTCGAGATTGCTGCGAGGCGGTCTCTCGCGTTCTTTTAAGGACGAATGTGCCAAGGACCTTGAGCAGGCCACACTGAAACATGCAATAATATAACGGGAAAGCGACCATCAAAAAATAGTAAAGGAATGTAGTTTGCCTTTAAGTATGTGACTCAAACGCTCACAGACACAAGGTTGGGCGATAGCAGACTGGTAATACCAGGCACCAACGACTGCCAATCCAACCCCCAATGTAACTCTCAAGGCGGCACAGCACGATGTTCCTCGTCCAAGCGTTCAGCCCGGTGACACATAAATGAGAGCCATGCATGTTTGCGCTCGAATACAAGGCACAGCTCGTCCGAGGCGGCAACGTGCAGATCGACGAGCCAGTAATTCTCCTAGACGCCTGCCGAGCAAGACATTCCATCGCTACACGACAACTGCCTCGCCCGCCCCTGGAAGGATGTCGCGGATGCTTCAAATTTTCACGCCAGCATTTGTCTTTGAGCAGCTAATATGAGCCTGGCGTGGGCTCGCTGGGACTACTGTCTCAGACGAGGGGATTAGCATGAGTAGGATGACGGTTGGAGCAGTGTAGGATTTGCGAGGCTGGCTGGCTTGCCATGAAAATGGAACCAACAATGTTGTCGGTGAGCTGAGCCATGAGGATCAGCAGCCGTTGGTTCATGTTGCTGTTGGTGCTGGGATGAGATGTCGTTGAGACTTGCTTTTCGCTAATTTAAGACGAGTTGGGCAGTGCCTTGCGCCCTGCCTTCTGCCGCTTGCCTGTCGTTGCCTGGGGTCGGGTGGAGACCGGCCGCAAATGTTCGAGATCCCCGCCATCGTCCCATCAAGACCAGGAAGGGAAACTCCAGGTAGGCAGCTTACCTAAGGGTGCTATCGTCTTATCTTCCCTCCAGGCCTTATCGATAAGAAACCGCCGATGACCTTCCATCACAGTCCCTCCACTCCGAACCAAGACCGGGATAAGTGGGCCGATGCCAAAATTCCGCAGGTCGCATCCGTCACTTTCCCGCATTTGGACGCACGGTCCAAGTCGCGATTGAGTGCCCAAATTTTTTCGATGCTTCCATCATCGGCCGCACAAGCCTACGTCTCCTGTCCTCTGACCAACTCCGATCCCCGGCATCAATCCACTCGCCACGTCCACGAATCTCGCCATGTCGTCGCTTTGGGATACGTTTTCTGGACGCAAGTCTGCTCAGAAGGAGACGGGCGCCTCGCAGAGCCCCGCGCCATCTCAAGCACCCACCACCCTCCAGACAGCGCCCACCCATTTCGACCCGTCAGCAGGATCTGGTGTCGAGTCTTTCCTCCAGAGCTCTGCCTTTGCAGACCCCGCACAACTACACCCCCTGTCCGGTCTGAACAAGGACACTCTCGAATACCTCTCTCTCGAAGATGCCGCTCTGAACGATGTGCCCGGCGGCCAGTCCGTTCTCCCCTCCCGAGGCTTTACGGATGATCTCTGCTACGGAACCGGTGTCACATACTTGGCGGCCTTGTCGATAGGAGGAGCCTGGGGTCTGCAGGAGGGCCTCAGGAGGTCTGCGAACCAGCCTCCGAAGCTGCGTCTGAACTCGGTTCTCAACGCCGTCACCCGCCGTGGTCCCTTCCTCGGCAACTCGGCCGGTGTGGTCGCCATCACCTACAACCTCCTCAACTCCAGCATCGGCTACTTCAGAGGGAAGCACGATGCCGCGAACTCCATTTTGGCCGGCGGATTGAGCGGGATGGTTTTCAAGAGCACACGAGGTGTGCGGCCCATGTTGATTTCTGGTGGTATTGTGGCCTCCGTAGCCGGTGCCTGGGCTGTGAGTTTTCAAATTGGACGCAATCATGATTTTGGTTCTCTAACGCTTCGACTAGGTTATTCGCCGAACTTTCTTCGCCATCCCTGAACCCACGGCTTCAGAGCATGCCCATTTGTAATTTCACGACATAACACCTCTCACGACCTCTCCTCGTTGAACCCCACCAATAATGAAACTCTTTTATCATTCTCGGATCACCATGGATCTGTGGATGGCAATGCTCGCTTGATACGAGCTTCTTCTGTTTGTTGTTTGAGTAGGAATTTAGAGAGCCTTAGAGGAGTCTTGGGCATTTGGACGGACGATCTCTCCTCTAGTGGACCCGTGTATAGTATCTGGGAAGAAGCATTAGACGACCGCATCATTGGGTGGTAGTGGTGGGCGTTCGGTACTCGTCAACCAAAAAAAATAAAAGACAATTCAACAATACTGCCACACTCGTTTCGAGGAGTGCTAACTGTGCTTGCTTTCAGTCGCAATTTCTTGCCTTGAAAGCCATCATCGGGGGGGGGGGGGGGGTGGCCTGTTTCCTCCACGTCAACACCACTTTCGGTAGGTCTCCTTAAATAGTTGCTCCCTCATCTTCCGACATACTCGCGAACTTTCGCGTCGACAATCACTCGACTACCAACACAATGACACAACGGCCAATCTTCAAGGACGTAGCCAGCGGCCTCGTTGAGCTCAAGCTGGACAACATGCGGGCAAGATTCCGCCGTGGCGATCTCACGAGCCTTCAGTTTCCGTTACCTTCGGGTGAGTTGCGCGTCGATGACGAATTCGGTGGTCACATCGTCCTCTCCAGCGACACGTCAAGCCCGCTTCCAGAGGGAAAGCAGTACCTACATGACAGCCTGCAAGCGCGATCCGACGCTCTTCAGGACACAATCCGTATAAGGTCGATCGAGTTCATGCTGTCTCTACACAACTTCCTGGATCAAGAGCTCCTGAGGCTTGGAGCAGGATACCCACCGAGACCCCGATCTCTCCACGACCCTAGTTGGCTAGATGAGAAGGTTTGTGTACATCTTCAGTCGATTTTAGAAATTTTGCATTGACGCCGATGACTTAGGTTCAGGCGGTTGCCCTAGCCAGACTAGAAACTCTCCACGCGTATCCCCTCCTTGATCATGACAGCTTCAAGATCGCGATCGTTCATCTCGGCGAAGATGGCGCGACGGCTTTGGACATGCTGGTATGGCCAAATTGGGCCACCTTCGAGCCTTTCATCGAGAACGTTGAACGCATCCATTCTCGGTCGACCCGTTCCATCCACTCCTGGTCAACTACTCATCAATTATATCTTCACATTGCTACCTTCGCCGCCAAAAACAGTCCCCACCCCCCGAACAGGGGAAGTGCAATGACTTACAAGGCATGGCTTGAGGAACTTGACAAGAAGAAAGGCAAATGGATATTTCGCACCTTCTACAACGCCGAGGCAATAGTCCGCCCTGAGCTTTAGGGGCCTCAGCAGGAACTGGGCGATGCAGATTCGTTCGATGGCATGATGAAGGACGTGCAGAACGGAGGCAAGGTCGTCGCCATGGCAAAGGTGAGTATCCTTACTCGGTGAAAATCGTCGCAGATCTCTGACTAGGTAAACTGTTCCGGAGACATAGGCTTGGGAAGTCAGACTGCAGAAAGAGCTGCCGCGGCTCAGGGATTTCCAGCGTTCTGTCCCCGAGAACGCTGGCCAACCGGAAGACCCAGTCAATGTTGGCAGGTTTGCCTTTTTTTAAGGACACCGATCTCCAGATGGACGAGGAGAATGGCCTCGGGACTTTGAATGATTGAATGAGGACATTCTAGCCAAGGTCGAAGGATATTAGTGGAAAACGGCGGCACTTCGCTTGTCATTCGGGCCGTTGAAACGTTCGTCTCTGTAGAATATTTCGGTCTCTCTTCTGAGCTAAGTTGCCTTTGTGAATCAACACAATTGCCCGGATTTTTCGCTGGTACCTCATTCCATTATTCTGCCGTCGAACTCCGTGCGACGCAGCGCGAGCATCGCGGTTTCATTCCAGGAGAATCGGTGGTTTTCCGTCTTGATCTCTCTTCCCTTCTCTAGTAATTTACAACGGAGCGTGAGGCAAATGGTGCCTGCCTTGCTGCGTTGAGCAGGTGGTATGGATAATATGATTGCAAAAAAGTCGCCAGAGTGGGAGCGACCGGTCTTCACTTGGCTTCTCAGTCGTCACAATTTCGTCCCGTATACACTTATTCTTCCGATCAACACCACTTTTCTGGCCCTGCTTCTTCCGACAACAATCCAACCCCTTACGATTTGGTCAAGATGTGTGGCTGCTGGCCCTTTTCAGGCGCTCACTACGACAACGAAGATCCCCCTCATGTATACCGTTACGTGTGGGATGGTCAGCGATATGTCATGGAGATGGTAAGTGGATGGTTTCACGGTTCCTTTAGTTTTCTCTTTCTACATCCCCTTCCTCTGGTCTCGCTGTGCTTCCACGGGGACCGCCACAAAGGCGTCGTCCCTTGAATCTGTCTTCTTTGCGCTGCTACTGTAGCCTCATCCCCGCTTAGTCGTGGTGTGATGTTATGGCTGAGGAGTCCAGGCCGAAAAGACCAGGCCGCGATGGCTTCAATGCGGCTGGGTGAGGGTTTTCTGGACCTGGCCCTAGGGTCGTGTCTTTCCTTTTCTCCTCTTGCCATCTCTTCCACAAACTTCACTTTGGCCCCATTCACTTCAGATTGAGATGGAGTGAAGGAGACCTCATCATTCCAGCTTTCAACTTTGAGGCGAGCCCTGCGCTGGAAGCTTCTTCTTCAATCTCGACCCTTCAACCCCTGATCAAATCAAACATTTCCCAGGAGGCTGGCCAAGATCAACGTCGACTCTGAATATCACTACCCAGGCCAGAAAAGCCCTGCCGAAAAAATGAAGTCTCCCAAGGTCAAGACGAGTGCCAACAACACTGGTGGACCTCGCCAGGTTCATTTCAAGGAGGTCAGCAGCCACAGCTCTGGTAGCTCTTTCCCCATCACCCAAGGACCCGATACTTCGACCACCTCGACCTCGACCGCCTCGACCGCTCCTGCCCCCGACAACCACGAAGACGAGGAGCATGTACCCGGCGTCTTCCTTCACACATCCACCAACCCTTCTGCCTCGGTCAATCTTGGTTACAACTTTCCACCCTCAACACCTTTCGGCCAGGTCCCTCCTCAGCCAACCTACGGCCCTTTCATCCCCCAAACTTCGACCCATCCCGCCTTCACTGCTGAGGCGAACGCTTTCGCACCTTTTGGAAAATTCAATCCGTTTGGTCTTCAAGCTCCTGCCTACGTCAACATGGCCGACTATCAGAACGTCGCTCCGCCTGCCGGAGGTCTTCACTTCCAGCCGCCCGTCCCTGACACTTCTCACGGCGTCATGCAGCACGTCTACGTGCCTCGCTTTGACAACGGCGCGCCTCCTCACCCTGGCTATGCTTATCATGTCGGTCCTCCTCAAGTTCAGATTCTCCCACTTGCCACTACTACCCTCGTTGCGCAGCAGCCTGCTCCCGTCTTGCTGAATGCGCCCCTCGTCCTTTATTATTATGCAAGTCACCATACATTCACACATCTCAAAATTCTAATCTCCATTGGTGCAGAAAGCCAAGTGGTTTTCGGCATGTTTTTTGTTTGCTCGCAACCTTCTTCTTCATTTTGCCTCGCCAACTCTCAAACGAAACTATACTGACTTGGGATCACAGCAGCCGCCCCCCAACAACATCACCTACATCGGCCAAGCTCCTCCTCCCAACCCTCCCGTCATGATCGCCCAGCAGCCTATCATGCAGCCTGGAATGGCCATGCAGAACCCGCCCATCATGCTCCAGGGCCCTCCCCAAGTCATGAACGGCGCCCCCATGTTCCAGGGTCCTCCCCCTATGGGCATGAACATGCCCCCCAACATGGGCGGTGGCGGCGGTCCCGTCTTTGCAGGTAATCGTGGTTTTCCTCCTGATGTCACTGGCTTTGGAAAGACGGCTGGCGAGATAGCCATGGAACAGGCGCAGTTCGCCTACGCCAATGGCTTGTTTGAGCCTCAGGACTTCAAGCCTGCTGATGACGACCCGTCTCGTTATTATCCTGTTCGCGAGGTTGACGGTAATTGGACCCAGCGCAACCGTTTTACTATTGACAACCTCGGCGATTGTCGCTGGTATGTCACTAACGAGGGCTTTTTCTACGCCGTTCGTCTGCCCAACTAGGCAGACTATTTGCTGTAAGTCCATCCTTTTTGTCAATTCTAGGACAGTCAGCTCACTCCGCGCAGCGATACCCTACATTACAGGTCCCCGAGACCTGGACTGTAAGCGATGACAATCGTAGACTTTGCTTGTTAGTTTCCTCATCAAACTTCTTTGCCGAGCCATCTTGCTGATCTTGGTAGTTCATTCGGACGCCCCCGGACGACTTCCCAACTAGACTTCCAGTCTTCGAGGTATGCTGGATTCGTGCCAGAGAAGTGATGATAGCCATACTGACGTGAGGTCAATCCAGAACTGCCTCGCGTTCTCATAATTGGACTGAAATGTCCAGAGCCAGCTCCACGGCAGATACTGGGATGAACTGGGAGGCAGGACGAGGGTAAATTGGATGGCTGGACTTTTCTTATGTTCATGGTTTCGAGGCATATTTGGACGAAATCACGTCAATTGTGCGTGCCACAAGAGAGATGGGTAGCTTTCTTGATACAAGAGCGGAGGCAGTCTCCACGTCGACGGTCCGTGATTGTCAGATGCCGGCCCAGTTCTTCCAAACCTGGAATTTCCGTAGTTGAAAAAGAAAATGCACAAACTTTTCGCGATGCTCTCCAAGATTCAAGATAATTTCTTCACATGCGACTCATTTGTGTTAGTGACGTACTTTCTGTAAGGGACGTAATAAAACTTGCCACCGACCCTAGCCCGCCTGGTGAGAATGGCAAAGGTGCCATGATGATTCTATCGTCTTGGAAAACAATCTTTCTATCTGCTTGGAATACGCTCTTTCCAGTTATTCAATTTCTGTATCAGTCATGAATTACAGTGATCCAAAAAGCTCGTCTGGCAGGTGGGAGGTGGCCGAGGTTGTTCCTTCCCAAAATTTGAGGCGATAAAGACCAACTTCCCCTTGCCTCACGCAACTGCTGCTCTGCCGCGCTTTTCCAAGTCCACATCAGTGAGAAAAAGCTCCTCTACTGCCACAACTTCCTACTCACTGACTTTGAGCGAATTCTTCCTCTGCAGACCCTCCTGTAATCTGCAAACACGCCTGAGTCTCCAAACTTTCATGCACGGCTAACTTGGTCTAGGTCGCTGCTGCCATGACGGTTAAGGGCAGAAGTTCCACGCTCTGTGAATGGGCTCTTGGAGTCAGCGTAGAGGAGTATTGCGACTCAGTTCAGCGGCGCAGGCGCAAGACATCGACTGGCCGACAGCGCATCAGCGTCGAGATCTCGACTGACGAGGAGTCTGAAGAGGACACCGTCAAGATCACATATCCACGCACCGGGAGCAAGACTTCTGCTGCCCGATCATCCAATACAAAGAAGGTGCGCTTTCAGGGAGCACCCAAGCCCGCATTGAAAACGGCCGATTCAGACGCCGAATCTTCAGGTGATTCAGAACCCGATCCGGACTGCAAGTGCCGGGACTGTAAGATAGGGCGCAGGAGACTAAGAAAGGCAGGAAAAGGTGACAAGGAGAAGGCTGCTGAGGCTGAAACCTCTGAAGAGGAGTCCAAGCCAAACGAAAAGAAGAAGTCGAAGGTCGACAAGAAGAGCAACAAGGTAATCGAATCATCATCGGAGAGCGACGACAGCGATGCTGAGACGACAGAGACCGATACAGAGACCGAGGATGAGGCATCGCCGCCTCCTAAGAAGACAAAGGACAAGAAGGAGAGCAAGAAGAGCGCGAATAAATCCAAGGAAACGGCCGCAGCAGACGTCGAGCCTAACAACGTTGGCCCGACAAAGAAGAAGCGAGCCAAGAAGAACGACGACACGAAAAAAGAAAAGGCCAAAAAAGCTCGCGAGCCCGAGAAATTGACACCCGAGGCCGCCTTATCTCCCAATCTCCGCCGCCCAAATCTCATCATGCCCATCCGAGCTGAGGTTCTACAGGTTGAGCATGCCATTGAAGGGGTTAAGGACCCCCGACCAAATGCTTTCCATGATTCGCAGCACGGCGTCGTTCGAGTCTATCACGGACCAGCATACGGCAATCCTCATGGACTACTGTATCCCGCGCGCGATCCTTCCAAGGCAACTCTGCCTTTAGGCATGCCTCATCCATTGCAGAACCCTTACATTAACGGGTTTTCTAACACTATGAATCCTGGCGACAACCACTCCAAGAGCCAGTCGCCATGGGGTGCTATTCCAGTCACCTACATGCCAGGAGGACCTCCGATGATGGCCCCGGTTGATCCGATGCAAATGTCGCAAATACCGCCTTACTGGGCTCCAGTGTCACCAGTCAAGATTTCTTCAGTCAAAGGGTCACCGAAGATGTCAGGGGCCAACCAGGCAGGAGACAGCAAAGAGAAGGGATGGGAAACGAATGTTGGTCCAGCGGGCGCCAAAGCTCCCTCTCCTGCAAAGAGCGCCAAGGTCCAGCCGTTGAACAACAATGTTGCACCAGCCTCTCCCATCAACATCAGTCTGACTGTCAATCCGAACACGCCTTGGGCCGAATTTGCGAACACCGTCAGCAAGAAGTCTAGTCCCAATAAAGACGGCTCACAAGCTGGGAGCAAGCAGGGATCCAACAACGGGAGCAAGAAGTCTTGGGGGTCCAAGAAGACCACCGATTGGCAGACTATACCCAGTGGTCAGCACCCAGACCTCGGATGGGGCACACCCGCGAAGAGTCAAGCGGGCAGCAACTCTGGGTGGCCCCAGACCACAGGAAGTAACTCTGCCTGGGGTCAAACTGGTGATGGCAATAATGACGCTTGGGGAACGACAGGTGGTCCAGGAAGTAATAGGAGCGGATCAGGAAGCAACAAGAGTGGCGGAAGCAACAGCGGCTGGAACAATTCTGGCAACGACCAGAAAAATAACACCTGGAACGATTCAGGCAATGGCCAAAACAATGACGGTTGGAACACGTCAGGAAACGATACCGGCAATGATCCTTGGGGCTCGTCAGGCAATACCCAGGGCAATGCTGCTCAGGGAGCGTCTGGCGGCGACAATGTCTGGGGAGCGACGACAAACAACAATACTTGGGGAGACTCGGGCAACAATAACGGAAACAATAACCAGACAATGAACACAGACGGCTGGGGAGCCTCTAACGGTAACACAGGCGACACCTGGGCTACAGGAGGCAATTACAACAATTGGGCAACAGCCTCTAATCATTCCAACAGCTCGAAGAAGTCGAACAAAAGCAAAAACCGGGGAGGAAGCAACCGAAGCGCCAGTGGCAACCAGCAGCCACCTCCCAATTGGGATAATCAGAGCAATAATGTTGGATTTTCTGGACGGGTTGTCTCGAGTGGTTCCAACAACTCGCATCAGTCACGAAAGAGCCAAGCGCCGCCGTCGAACTCAGGTTGGGACAACAACGCTGGTCCTTCGACGAACAGCCCCGTCGGTAACGCCTCCAACAAGAGCAATGGTTCAAAGAAGAGCTCCAAGAAGGGCTCAAACAACGACGATGCCTGGAATGCTGGGAGCGGCGACAACAACCCAGCTTGGACCGTCGACAACAATACTGGACCGATGACGGTTAGCCCCAACGCTTCCCAAACGTCAAAGAAGAGCGAGAAGAGTGATAAGAATGCCACGACGGCGGGTGAGGGCGGCGGATGGGGGCCTGCTCCCGCTGGAGACGGCTGGAATCCGACCGGCACCGAGATGAGCAAGGGCTCCGGCAGCAGCAAGAGCATGCCGGGCGCCTGGGACCCTACACCGCCTTGGGGTGATACAAGCATGGCGCAATCTACCAACGGACTTGCGGAAACTTGGTAGAGAAACAAGTGGACGAAACTTGAAGTCTGCGACAGGACCGGATATCCAAGTTTGATGCGATTAGTGGAAGCAACGGCGCCTGGGCGAAGGCTGCGTTTGCGAATTTGCTTGGGATCGAGGAACATAATTATCGTTCATGGATTTGAGACTGCGTTGGCTTGTGGTAGGCCGTTGGGCAGCAAGTTGCGTGAGGCGAAGTGCGGAGTTAGTTTCATGAGATTTGCGGCATAGGGAGCGCACGGAATACCTAATTAGCTACGCTGGTGTCCTGATGAGGGACGAGGGTTACCACGGCAAAAGCGAATGAACAGGAACAGCACATAGACAGATACGGTTTGATCAAAGACATTCGCTGGTCAAGAGTGGACTTTTTCCCGAATTGAGGCCTACAGGATGCGCTACCTAGGAACAGTGAATGCTAGCAAACCGACGAAATCGCCAAATGCCTGGCATCTGGAAAGTGAAGACCGAGTGTACGAGGCAGAAAAGCCAATGAGCGAAGCTGACGAGCAAAAACAGTGGACAGGGCCACCTGCTGACGCCAGTCTTGACTGTACTGTAAGAAAACGAGTGATATCCGACACATAACCTCCCGTTTACTCCTCGTCGCTGGACTCCTCCTCCTCGGCCTCCTCGAGCCACTTGATGAAGGGCTCGGCGGCCTTGCGGACCTTCTTGGAGGTGGCGACATCGACGTACTTCTTACTGGCCTTGCTGCCCCACTTGATGGCGACCTCCTCGCTGAGCAGGTCGAAGTTGTAGTACAGCTGCAGGATCTTGACAATCTGAGTGTACAGCTCGGGGTGCTCCTTGCCGAGGCTGCCAATAAGGCGCTCGGTGCCACCAAGCAGAGCCTTCTCGTGGCGGTCAGAAGTGACAAACTACAGTGCGTGTTAGCGTATCTGCAAATACCAAGCCTCGAAGATCATGTCCACATACCTGCTTCATCATGCCGGAACGCTTGGGAATCTGGGCGAGAATGTTCTCGTCAAAGATGGTCTGAACCAGGACGAGGACGGAGCGGTGCTTGGTCTCGATGCCAAGCTCCTTGGCCTTGACGAAGATGTCAATGGAGTCGACGTTGTCAACACCGCCCTTAGCGGTGGCCTGGTCCTGGATCCAAGTGCCGAACTCGTCATAGACAGTGTTGCCACCGCCCTCGCCATCCTCATCCTCATCATCGCCGATGTTGAGCTTCTGCTTGAACTCACCGGGCAGCTGGGCCTGACGGGCCTTCACAGCCTCCTCGCTCATGTCCACGGCCCACTCGTGCTCAGCCGTCTCGTTGTCATCGAGCTCAGGGGCTTCCTTCTTCATCTTCTCCAGCTCGTCATCACTGCCAGCGTCCTGGTCGTCGGCGTCGTTGGATCCGTGATCGGAGCCCTCGCCGCCGCTTCCGCTTCCGTGGCCATTTTGGCCGTTCTCCTTGGCACCATTGGCCTTGGCGCGGCGAGCTGCTTTGCGCTCGGCCTTGTCCTTCTTACCCTTCTTCGGCTGGTTCTTCAGGATGTAACTGCTGAGCTTCAGGCGCAGGTCAACCTCCGAACGCTGACCACACGCCTTGCAGTCGAGCAGAATACGTCCGTCCTTGATGTTGACGTCGGTCTCGGGGTTCTTGCACTTCTTGCAGAGAACGAACTTGTTGATGAAGCCGTCAAGGTGGTCTTGCAGCTTAGCGGCGTTGTGAGAACCGTTGATGATCCAGCGGTCGTCAGCGGGGTCGACGTTTGTCTGGGCACCCAGCTCGAAGCCGAAGTACTTGATCACGTAGGCGCCAGGACGGGCAAGAGACTGAGCAACGCTGCTCAGGTTGACAATGACGGTCTTGATACCGTTGCCCTTGCCCTCGATCTTGGTGACGAGCTTTTCCATCTTGTAGCGATAGAAGGCGTCCTTGACATCGCGACGAACGTTGACGAGAGAAGCCATGATTGCGGTATTGTTATTGAGACGACTGAAGGTCTTTGGTAGTAGAAGGTTGTAGTTTTTATTTTCTTGGAGATTAGGATAGCGTGGTAAGGGTCAGGAAGCGAAGCTGGTAGTGATGCTGGGCTGTCGAGCGGACGAGGGGCATGAAGAAGCCGTGATTCGGAGTAGTATCGGTCGAATCGGTAGTTGTTGGGAAGCTGGAAGGGAGCAAGAAGGCGGACTCAATGCTCAGCGGGTGGATCGATGGACATAGGGTAAAGCGAGACTGGATCGTCTTTGCTGTCGATAATTCATAGAATCCTCTGGGAAGTGGACTTCAGCCGACTGAACTGATGTTGGGGCTACAAGGTTTCCGCGCTATGCGAAATGATTGCAGCTTGGGGACGAAGTGTCTGAAGACGGTGGTCTTGTCGTGCTGATACATAAACTGCTATGTGGTTTGTACCGCGTGAGGGTGTTGGGTTATGTTCAACTCTCGCGAGGATCGGGGACTCGGCGGTCGAACGATACGAGGAGAGAGGATGCTGCTGGTGAATGCTGGTGATGTGTTGTTGTTGGGTGGTGGTGGTGGCGATTTCTTCTTGTGCAAAAGTTTTTGTGTGCGAAACCGCGAGCGGCGCTAGAGTAGGATGGGATTGCCGAAGCAGGAGCAGAAGCAGACGGTGGGACTGCTGTTGCAGAAGATATGTCTTTTTCGCGAGATGAAGAGAGGTATCTCCGAGTGGAGGTCAGGATTTTGCGTGTTTTTTGTGTGCGGGAAAGAGGAGACACGGAGTTGACTGAGGTGGGCAGTGAGTGCAGAGTTTTGAAAAAAGACCGGAGTGGAGTGTGTGCGGGAGGAGCAGTGAGGGAGAGGAAGAGTCAGTGTCAGGAAGTTCGGAGACACATGGACAATAAAATCCCTTAATAATGGGGCCTAACCTTGCCGCCGCCTTACCTCCAGGTACCTACCTAGCCTGTGGCCCGCCGCCTTACCACGCAGAACGAGCACCCGACTTGATTCACTGGTACGCCTTGTGATGGGGCATTTAGCTCTGCCCCTCATGTACCCTGTCTCTTGGAGGCACAGGGCGCCAATGTATCTACCAGCCGCACCTTCTTTGGCCTCAGAAAGTACAGGCGGCACTGGACGGCGTAGACGGCAAGTCTGAAGCCTGACAGCATGGTTCGCCCGTCTCGGCGAGCCTCTCGCAATTAAGCCTCCCTCCCTCAATGGCCCTCACGCTCCCTTCCTTTCTCCCGTCTTACAGCCCAAGTCCAACAAAGCCAATGGTGGCGTAATGTCCAACAGAATATGTCCTTGGAGCGTCGTCGTCGTAGTCGCTGTTTGCCCCACGTCCGCCGCCGCCATAGTGTACTCAGCATTCTGCGTACCAGTACAGATACAACATCAGTGTCCCAGACTCCCCCAGTGGGTATCATCGAGTGTCCCACCTCAAACCAGTGCCCAGAAACCAGGGTGCATGCAGCACCACCGCCCACCGCACACTAAGCGAACGCGCCGCGTTGTACCTCGGCCACAGTCAGTCCACTCCACACTGTCGCCATCATCAACATCAACGTCGCAGTGCTGAGCTTTCACTCATCACCTACATCAACTGCGGGAGAGCAATCAAAACAACCACAGAGAAGTGAAGAGACTGTCAATCAGGAACACGCACACACTCAAGATGCTTTTTATCGGCCTGACGGGATCAATCGCAACGGGGAAATCCACTGTCTCCTCCGTCCTCTCTAATGCTCCTTACTCCATTCCACTTATCGACGCCGACATCCTCGCCAGGGAGGTTGTCGAGCCGGGGACAAAAGGATACGCCGCCATTGTGAATTACTTTCTCCCGACGACTCCGGATCTCCTCATCCCGGTCTCCGACACGATGCCCGAAAATGGACCCACTGGCAAAGGACGTCCTCTCGACCGGCCTGCCCTTGGCCGCCGCGTCTTTGGCAACACGGAGGAGCGAAAAAGTGACCGCGCTGTCCTCAACGGCATCGTTCACCCGGCCGTCCGCGGGGCCATGTATAAAGCCATCTTCCGGGCCTACATCCGCGGTCACTGGGCCGTCCTATTGGACGTGCCCCTTCTTTTTGAGAGCGGGCTTGACCGCATCTGCGGAACCGTCTTCGTCGTTGCCGTCAAGGACCCCGAGGTGCAGATGCAGCGACTCAGAGCTCGTGATCCCCATCTGTCTGCCGAGGACGCTCAGAATCGTGTGCTAAGTCAGACCGACGTAAGGCTCAAGGCGAAGAGATGCGAGGCGCGAGGTCCAGGCAAGGGAGTTGTGCTCTGGAACGACGGAACCAAGGATGATCTCAAGAGGGATATCGCCGAGGCCATTCGTCAGGTACAGGCATCGAGTCCCATTTGGTGGAATTGGTTGCTTCTGGCATGCCCTCCCGCGGCAGCAGCCATTGGGGCATGGCGATTTTATCAAAATGTCCGCATCAACAAAGCATGGGCTGAACAGGAGAGGATCGAGAAAGCCAAGTTGTAATTGCGGGCAGCCTTTACTATGCGACACCAGGATGCACTTGCCCCACAGTTACACACGACAACGGGATTTCAAGAGGCGGACTACATCACAAATGACGATGATTAAAAGAATCACACGAACCTTGAGTTGGGCTCAAGCACGCAAGCATACGAAAGAATCTCACAATTACGGGCTACGTATTGCTCCCTGCCCTGCACGTTCTTCCCTCGCCTGGGACATGCCCTGTGCGCGAATATGCGATTGGACATGAAGGGGTTTCTGGTTTCCCATCGATGGACGGGACGTTGAAACACTGACAACTGCCCACCAGCAGCTTGACTTCCCGCGGGCCATCTCACCGGAAACTGCGACAGCCCCGCCGCAGGCACAGGCCAATCAATGGCCGTCCACGCCTCAGCAAGCGCAAATCGCACGCAGAGTGTCACAGTGTGGACGGCAGGGGGGGCAAGGCCGGCAAGGGAAACGGATGCTGACGCTGCTCCGGATGCAAATGGAAGGACCTCTTCGTTGCTTTCTCATCTGGGTTGCGGCGCAGAAACAAAAATAAATCTTTCAATTCCAGTGCAACCCATCTGTCACCTCCGCTATTAGTGGACCGCGCTAGTGTTGTGTTTTCTGCAGCCGCTGGGTTCCCCCCCGCCTCGATTCCCAGGCTCGCACACGAATACACCGGCGAGTACGGAGTAAATCCGAGCCAGTGAGACTCACTTGCGAACTGATGAAGTTCTGTCCTGCAAGTCATCTGGACCGACGTATCTATACCCATCTGAAGTTTGCAGTCGTCCACGTAACCAGTTGATAAATGAGGCCAGATTCTCTAAGCCGAAGCATTGCTGAGAGGTGGCACCAGTATGTAGCCGGATCGGGGCGGGCCAGGTCGTCTTGCTCATCTTCTGCCCTTTCTACATCCCTCAGCCTCCACGCGACATGTTTGGTGTCCGTCAAAGCCCTCCAGCGCCAACAGGAACAAAATGCCCAGCCATGATCTCCTGAACCTCGCCCCGGCCTTGCTATCTCTTTCAAACCTTGCCAGGACAAGTTCCATCTAAACCATGCGCCGATCACTCTCGTTTCTCGGCAATAGGAACAAACTGCAGCAAACACCTCTGGCCCAGGGGTCGCGACGAGATGAGCTGGTCAGACATGGCCATCGATTCGGCCGTCATGGATGTCTCAGGAAGTGTCGTGTAACGAGAGTAAATGTCCGACAGGAGAATTTTCATCTCGGCCAGTGCCAGGCTACACGGTCAAGAATCAGTCTCTCAGTCGAGGGGAAGGGTGAATGAAGTATACGCTGCACACGAGGGAAAAACTCACTGCTTTCCTACGCAACCCCGGCCACCGTTGGCAAATGCAAACATCAATCGTTTCCTCTTCGCGTCCCCCGTCGGCTCCATCCATCGGCCAGGATCAAACAACTCTGGCCGGGGAAAGACGTCGCTGTTGATCCGATGAACCGAGTACGCCTGGCAGCTCACGATGGTCTTCTCCGGGATGAAGTGCCCGTCAATTGTGCGACCACCCTGGGGCACATACCGGGGAAGGGACATGGGGATGGCGGGGAAGACTCTGAGCCCCTCCTGCACCACAGCATCCAGGAATGGCAGCTTATCAAACGAGACCCCGGGGTTCTCCCGCAGTTCCCGCTGCAGTCTCTCCTGGAATTGCATGGACCTGGGCTGCGAGAGCTCCCACATGAGAAAACACAACCCGTCGCCCGTGGTATCGATACCGGCCGCCATGTGATCCAGATTCTCTCCCGCCTTGTCGGTCTGGTCCAAGTCGCTCGACTTCTCGTGCAGACGGCTCAGCAGGGTGAACGGCGCCGGGTCGGGCTGTCTGCTCGACTCCATCACAAAGTTGTCCGCGAGAGGCGTCTCACGAGGCTTGGCAAAGGCGTACAGCACCCCAGATAAAGCCTTGTGCAGGGCAGGGCTGTAGTGCTGAATGAGACGGTTCTGCAGGCTGTCGTCGGCGGCGACCTGGTGCATCATCTCCTCGTCCGCGGTGTCTTGGAGGCAGTTCGTGCCGTACGGATGGAATAGGTGATGTGTGACGCAATCGCAGGCGTATGAGTGCAGGCTCATCTACACCGGTGTGAGCACACTGCTGCGCGCGGCGACGGCCGCCGTTGCTCGATAACTTACAAAAATGTCATGGCTATTGCCCACAGAGGCCTCGCATCGCTTGATGAAGTTGAGAGACCTTTCCTGGATGCCACTTAAGGGTGCCGGGCGCAGCACATTGCTGTTGGCGTAGCGGTCTGCGATGATTCTCTTACGCTTGGCGTGCTGTGTCACACACTCGATTAGTCTCTAATCCTTCGACGCGGGGATTCTGGGGCCATACATCTTCCTTGTTCAGGGTGGTGAACATGGTCCTAGACGTGTGTGAGACAGGGAGACCGCCTGGGAAAAAATACTGCTTTGCTCCTACCTCCGACCATACACTCTGAATAGGTTATAGAACTCCGTCTTGTCATACCCGCTGCCCCCAGAACAGTATATCTCCTTGACAGCATCGTAGGAAGTAAAAGCCACCTCGTTCGGCGCTATACGGACGACGGGGCCGTATTCCTCGTGGAGACGGTGTATATACTTGGTCCTTTGGGCGTGCCACTCGTGCCATTTCAGAAGTAAGGAGGTGAAGGCGGATGCCCTCGGGCCGGGCAGTCTCCACAACGGGGAAGAAACACAGCGGGCGAGGTAGACAAGGGTGAGGACAACGGAGGCCGCTCCGAGGACGACGGGTGACAGAAGCAGCATGATGAAGTCTTGCCTCCAAGGGATCCGAAGGAACGGCCAGGGTGCGGAGAGAAAGAGGGAAGTGGGTTTCCAACAGGAAACAAAGGCGCCGTGATTCATAGACCGGAGCTCGAGTGACGCCGGGACCTCTTATCAGCTCCGGGCCGGCGACGATAGGTGCTGTTCAATCAGCGCGTTTCTATTCGTAAATGACCAAGCGCAGGCATGGCGTTTTAGGTAACCGGTACCCACTAGAGCCCCAAAATGGAGACGTGAGGGGCACCCGACATTGATCGCAATGACAACCAATCCATCCCCCACCCTGCCACTTTGATTCTGGCAACGGACCACACATTCACTTGAACACCCTCACTTCTTGGCCTAAAGAGGATGCATTCTGTAGCCTCATAAAGTTGTACAGACTCAACCCCAAAATCTACGCCTGCCCTCACCCATTCACCATCTACCATGCAACGCCTCAACTCGCCTCAGCCGCCCACCGTTGTACACCGTTCATCTCGCCTTGGAGCCCTATACAGCCCGTCATCATAGCTCTCCCCGCCTCTTAGATTCCTGCTTTGCCTTGTCATTTGAACTGCCTCCGCCAAACAAGCTGCTCAGCCAAGACATACCAGGAATCGATACTGAGCCTGCCGGCGGGTACTCCTTGCCGTTGACCGTGACCTTGGGCGTGCATGTGCACCACTGGTCCTCAGGGACGCCGCTCAGAGCCGAGGGGATGTGCTGGCCGCAACCACGCCAGGTTGCCTTTGCTAGCTGGCTGTTAGCCTATGAGTTGCTGAATGGGGTTGGAGTTCTTGGGTCGAACTCACAGCAAGTCGAGCAAGTGACTCCGAAACACATGTTGAAGGACGGGGGGAAGCTGGAGGTAGAAATGTTGTGGTGCGAATAATCGACGGTGATGGTCAGTTGTAGTTTGTAAAAGGTAAGCTTTGACTTTTCAATGATCGATTTAAGGTAGCGTGTGTAGTCTGTGTATGTTGACGGGCATGAGCTCCCAAGGGATTAAGTATTCGCGGCGCCCGCGATCGCATAATCAACCAGGGCAGTTCTTGGGGTCGGCGACCTGCATTGAGCATCGCCGCTACCTCTGCCCGAGTAAGTGGGTCTCGGGACACGAACGCGCCTGCCTATCGCCGACCTCGCTCATTACACTGCCCAGGTACCTAGCAAAGTAGAAGAAGGTCCTACTACTGGTGAAAAAGTTCAACCTAGAAGATCAAGTTGACGCGTATTCATCATTGAATTCCTTTCATGTTCTAGAGGTATATTGGTATACATTCGCTCTTTTGGGCGGCCGCCGAGGCCAAGTTTGCGAGCCACTTAGTCGCCGATTTGGCCAGCCCAGTTAAACCAGACAAAGCTGTTCCTGATTTCATATTTGCTGGATGAACTCCATCACGCGGCCTGCCAACCATTCCTGGGCCTCTGCCTGCTTCACAGCATGGCTTGCTCCTGGGATCACCCCGCTCAAATGGTGAACTTTTGGGCTCGTCTTCTTCCACGAGTCGATAAGAGCTTGCTTGTCGATTTTGGCCGGGACGAACTCATCTTCGGCCGAGTGCAGAGCCATCACCGGTTGCTCGAACCTCTGCCAGACCGAAGACACAAAGGACTCGTCGAGATCAGATGAGAAGTAGTCATCATCGCCCCTGGGCTAAGTCAGCATCGACCGTCACCAGAAGTTGGGTGGTGGCTTACCCCTTGGCCGCCAGCGCATGCCAACGGTACGCCGTGATGGGCGTATCAAACAAGGACGGCAGGTGGTCTGTAGGCATGGCCTCGCCCGCCTTACCCTCTGCAATCATTTTCTCTGCAAGATCCACGCCCTTCCTGTACAGCTCCGGTGTGATGAAATCGACAATACTCTCTCTGTCTGATGCCGGGCCCTGGAGGATGAACCCGTCGACGGGATCCTCCTTGTGCTTGGTGTATTCGACGGAATCCTAAAGACGTGAGCTGAAGTTTCGACTGTTATCAATCTCAAGATGACCTGCGCACCTGGCACCCGGTCGAGTGTCCCATGAGGACAATCTTCTTCTTTCCGATACCTCGGAGATATCTTACGAGGGCCGAAATGTCCTCAACATCATTCTTCAGGCTCGAATAACCGTACCCGGTAAACGAGCTCCTCATCCTGATCTCGAAGACAGACCAGTCCAGACTCTTAGCCTCAAGGTTCCTGGCTATAGTTTGAGTATAAGAAACGGTGTGGGGCCCATCTCCGAGGCCGCC